GCCTTATGTGGTGCTCGCTGTGGGGCCACGGAACGAGTGAGGGGTGCGCCGAAATAGGGTGGAACTGCATGCGAAATTTGGCACATTGGCCTTCGGTGGAGCTCCCTGTGGGGCCACGAACCGTGTGAGGGGTGCGCCGAACTGAGGGCGGAATTGTATGCGAACCCTGACACTGAGCCTATCGGCGGGGCCCCTTATAGGGACACTAACCGAATGCGGGATGCGCCGACACGAGGATGGAAATGCATGCGAACCTTGCCACTAGGACCTTCGGTGGAGTTTTTGTTTGCCACGACGCGTGTGTGGGGTGCACCTAAAGTGGGGGTGGAACCGCATGCGAACCATGCCCATAAGCCTGCGGTGGAATTCCGTGTGGGGCCACGGAACGTGTGATGGGTGCGCCAGGGTGAGGGTGGAACTGCATGCGAAACCTGCAACTGGGTCCTTCGGTGGAACTCCCTGTGGGGCCATGATCCGTGCAAAAAGTGCGCCGAATTGAGGGCGGAATGACATGCGAACCCTGCCGCTGGGGCTACCGATGGGGCCCTTTTATGAGGTAACGAACCGTGTGAAAAAGGTGCGCCGGAATGAGGGTGGAACTGCATGCGAAACCTGGCATTGGGGCATTCGGTGGAGATCCCTCTGGGGCACGAACCGTCTGAGGGGTGCGCAGACATGAGGGTGGAATCGCACGTAAACCTTGCCACTGAGACCTTCGGTGGAGCTCCCTATGGGGCAACGAACCGCGTGAGGATGCGATCAAATGAAGGTACCGCATACGAACCCAGCCGCTGGGGCCTTCGGTGGAGCTCTAATGAGGACGGCGATGATGATGGCGATTGTGACGACGGTGATGGCGATGACAGAGATGAATGATGATGATGACGATGATGATGATGAAGATGATGATTATGATGGTAAGTATTATCATGACGATGATGGTGATGCTGGTGATGATGATGGTGGTGGTGATGATGCTGATGAAGATGTTGATGGTGCTAGTGATGATGATAACGGTGGTGATGATGACGATGGTGGTGATGATCATGACGCTTCTGGTGGTGATGATGACGACGCCGACGATGGTGAAGAGGAGGTCAGAGTTGGATTCCAACGTGGGTCTGTTAGTATAGAAAGGGTCATGAAACAAACGTTGCGACACATATTAGGCGTATCTGCGCATACGCGGTCTGGCAAATCGGGGCGGCATCATCGCGACGCCAAGGGGCGTCGCGGACTCGAGCCTTTGGCCTGGAAGCACGAAGCGCACGATTACCCATATCATGAAGTTCTGCAACCAGTCACTGTGTTCTGGGGGTGCACGGACACGCAAAACACTGTTCAGCTAATCGTTAGCTGGCGCCCGCCTCGAACTCATGCCCCACCCCCCGCCTCTTCCAAATATCCCTTCGCTGTGGCCCAACCCTCCTCATGCCCCTCCGACTGCCCCGGTCCTCATCGTGCCCTTCATCCACATTGCCCCCCCCCCATGTGCCAATTCACGTCGTTCCTCGTCGTCCTCCTGCGCCGGATTCGTTCCCCCATCGTTTACATGCCCGCCCTCCTCCCATCCTCTACGCCCTAATGCACATCATGCCCCCAACTTATGCCCCCCCCCCCACCTCCCTCGCCCTCGTGATGCTGACACCGATGATGCAGATCCTCCTGGGCTCATTTCCTCCGCTCTCGTCAAGTCCCGTTCATTCTTGGCCCCTCGGCCACCCCCCCGATCGAACCCCTTCCTTCCCACAGCCCACCATCCACACACCCCCGCGCCTTTGCGCGCCCAGACCACGGCCCCCTCCTGGACTAGCCGGGAGACCCGCGGAAACTCCCGCCCATAGACCACTCCAGCGAACGGCGCGCAACAAATGCACAGTTGGAGACACGAGCTGTGTATTTCGACCGCGCACGACGCTCCACCTGGACCAGCCGGAAGAGAAACGCGAAAGTTCCCTCCCATTCAACACCACCAACGAGGGACACACTATTAAATACACAGATGGGAACGAGATCTGTGTACACAGATCACACCACGATCTGTGTAAACAGCGGGCCCACACACGAAAATACACACTTGAAGACACAAGCTGTGTACACAGATCACACCTTGATCTGTGTATTTCGAAAAGGTAAACGCTCGCCACCTCGAGGGCGCCCCGACTTTGCCAGCCCAGAACCGAGGTTGACATGCCCAGTTGGGGGGGAATGCGAATGCACACTTCCCCGGCCCAGGGCGCCCCCGAGAGAACCGCAAATATACGCTTCTGTGGCCCAGGGCGGCCGCGGTGTAACGCGGCGCCAAAGCGGCCCCCAACGGCCCGAAGACGCCCCAAAAGGCCTCGAAGGACCACAAAGAATGCCGCGGAGCAGTCCGAAAACACGAGAGATGTCACATGTCACGGACCTCTTAACAGTCAAAATTCCACGCGTCGCCATACAGACCACTGCTCCGGCAGGGGGGCGGACCTTGCCGCGGGCACTTATAATCTACATGTTAGCGATGCGATTGTGCTCGGCGGCCGTGCCGCCCGCATTTTGGGTGCGCCCCGAACTCTCGCATTGGCAATCCCCTCTGTTTGGTTGCGCCGCTGTGCTCGGATATCGAAAAAGCATTTACCGCTGACGCGGGCACGCGGCACCAGGGACTTCATTTTTCGAACAAGGAGGGTGGGCGAGGTAGGACGACGGACGGAGGAGCAGGGAGGCAAAGAGGAACGAGGAATACTAAGGGAGGTGGGAAGGGGCGCTCCCCCGCCCGAGCCGCGGACGCTTTCGACACCATCCAGGGGAGGGAAGAAAGGAAGGGGAACGGAACAAGGGCGAGGACGACGACGGGAAGCAAGTGCCCGGGGTCCGCATATAGCCATTTGTCTGCGACTCGGGTGCGCGCGCTTTCTTCGAGGCACTTCAAGCCAGACCCATGCTGAATTCACTAATTCCTCAAAACTGTGTAAGCACTCTGTCCTCTGTTCCCTCTCCTATACAACGGCCTCATAACAGAGGGGCAGTGATTTCCAAGGTCAGAGGCAAGGAATGGGAGGAGGGAGGTAGGGGAGGACGCGTGAGTGGGTGACGCAAACTGCTGTCTCTTCAAAACGAGCAGCCAACAAAAGCTTGGTGAAGAAACTTATCCTGGCGAAGGACCCAACCATATGCAATTGTGAATACTGCAATTGTGAATATCTTCTCGGTGGAGCCCCCTACGGGGCCACGAAACGTACGAGGCGTGTGCCGAAATGGGTGCGCGGGACGCATGCGGGCACACCCACTGGGGCCTTCGGTGGAGCTCCCTATGGGGCCACGAAACGTGTGAGGGGTGTGCCGAAATTGGTGTGCGGGACGCATGCGGGCACACCCACTGGGACCTTCGGCGGAGCTCCCTATGGGGCCACGAAACGTGTGAGGGGTGTGCCGAAATGGGTGTGGCTGACGCATGCGGGCGCGGGCACTGGGGCCTTCGGTGGAGCTCCCTATGGGCCACGAAACGTGTGAGGGGTGTGCCGAAATGGGTGTGGGTGACGCATGCGGGCGCGGGCACTGGGGCCTTCGGTGGAGCTCCCTATGGAGCCACGAAACGTGTGAGGGGTGTGCCGAAATGGGTGTGGGTGACGCATGCGGGCGCGGGCACTGGGGCCTTCGGTGGAGCTCCCTATGCGTGTGCGACGCAACGTCTACTTCGTGGGCGCGGGCATGGAGCTCCCTATGGGCCACGAAACGTGTGAGGGGTGTGCCGAAATGGGTGTGGGTGACGCATGCGGGCGCGGGCACTGGGGCCTTCGGTGGAGCTCCCTATGGAGCCACGAAACGTGTGAGGGGTGTGCCGAAATGGGTGTGGGTGACGCATGCGGGCGCGGGCACTGGGGCCTTCGGTGGAGCTCCCTATGGAGCCACGAAACGTGTGAGGGGTGTGCCGAAATGGGTGTGGGTGACGCATGCGGGCGCGGGCACTGGGGCCTTCGGTGGAGCTCCCTATGGAGCCACGAAACGTGTGAGGGGTGTGCCGAAATGGGTGTGGGTGACGCATGCGGGCGCGGGCACTGGGGCCTTCGGTGGAGCTCCCTATGGAGCCACGAAACGTGTGAGGGGTGTGCCGAAATGGGTGTGGGTGACGCATGCGGGCGCGGGCACTGGGGCCTTCGGTGGAGCTCCCTCTGGAGCCACGAAACGTGTGAGGGGTGTGCCGAAATGGGTGTGGGTGACGCATGCGGGCGCGGGCACTGGGGCCTTCGGTGGAGCTCCCTATGGAGCCACGAAACGTGTGAGGGGTGTGCCGAAATGGGTGTGGGTGACGCATGCGGGCGCGGGCACTGGGGCCTTCGGTGGAGCTCCCTATGGAGCCACGAAACGTGTGAGGGGTGTGCCGAAATGGGCGTGGGTGACGCATGCGGGCGCGGGCACGAGGGAGGGGGAAGAGAAGGACAGGAGAGGAGAGGAGAGGAGAGGAACGCGGGGCACCGTCTCTTCAAAACGAGGACCCAACACCACAGGATGGTTGGGAAAAATGAGAATGACAACATTAACAAGAACAAACAGAAAACGAACAATAACAATAATGATGAGAAGAACGGCACGACGAATGAGACGAAATCTGCGAAACCTGAAAATAACAATACCGTTAACAAGAAGAAGACGCATACTACTGGTGCGAAGAAACAAAAAGGAGCCATGACATCGGCCATAACATCTGCACACCCATAGTCCCCAGCACCAGATATCCGACGCTGCGTTTTGTCAAGCGCGGCTCCGAAGGTCCCGACATGTGCCCCGGGGGCAACTTGACGTCCCGGGCAGCATCTTGATTGCCCTGGGGCCCGACCCACAAATGGCGAGATGATAATGCCTTGTGCCCGTTGAGTCCGTAACGTCCGATACGGATGCCCACCCGCGCCTCCGCGAAAGGGTACCGAACGTACGCGGGGGGGGCGTCGTTCCCCCCGGCAAGCGCGGTGCTCACAGGCATGCTGTGGTGTTGACAGGCATGCTCGGGTGTTCGTCAGCATGCTGTGGCGCTCGCGACCTCGACGACACCCCGCCCCAACGGAGCGGACCGGGCACTACGGAACAAGAGATCGTCGGAGTTCCGGGTCCACCCTCTCGGGCGCATCCGGCATGAGGCGCGCCAGGCCGAAGTCGCAGAGCCGGGCGTGGAAGCGGCGGTCGACCAGGATGTTCGCGGGCTTCACGTCGCGGTGGACGATTCCAGCGGCGTGCAGGTACTTGAGAGCACGCAGCAGATGACGGCGGAGGAAGAGAACACGGCACACGAGCACAACATTTCGGAGGGCCGCGCAGACTTCTTGAACCCTCGGGCCGACGTCGGGGGTCTCATGGCCGTGCGGTGACGGCCCGCGCGCGGCGACCACGAAGTCCCCAAAGACCCCACCGCGCGGTCCGCCACCGCACAGGTCTCGGGACCTCGCACATCGGCCCGAGGTCGCCGTCCTCCGCGAGGAGGAGGAGGAGGAGGGGGAGGAGGAGGAGGAGGACGAAGAATAGGAAGAGGAGGAAGAGGAGGAAGAGGAGGAGGAGGAGGAGGAGGAGGGGGAGGGGGAGGAGGAGGAGGAGGAGGAGGAGGGGGAGGAGGAGGAGGAGGACGAAGAAGAGGAGGAAGAGGAGGAACAAAAAAAAACGGGAGAACGACCCCAAACCGTGCGGCGGCCCCGAATCCCCAGTGACTCGCCACGCGGCGTGGCCCTCGCACATTGGAAGCCCCTGATATCTGCGCCAGCCTGGCGCGCCGATATAAAAAGTGAGCGGGGAGCTGGCCTTCTCAGAAAACGGCGGGATTTCTGCGGAAGCCCCCCCGGCTTCCCGGGAAGACCTGCCCGGGGTTTCGGGGGCAACTTCGGAAATTTTTTGAGGGACGGGAAAAAACGCGCGCCCCCCGAAATCCCCACCATTTACCTTGGGCCGGCTTTTCATCCCGACTCGTTGATTTAGTTCCCCAAGGCCGTGCGGAAACACGCGGGAGCCGAAAACGGCGAGACAACTCCGAACCGAATTTCTCAGTACGTTGACGGTCCGTGATCCACAAATTCCTCGCGGCCCTCCGAATCCCTATGCTCGAACAGTTTCCCCTTCCTCGAGACAGGTGATCAGGCTCTGGCGCCCGCCCTCCTCTGGGTACGCGCTGTCATGGATCCTCATCATTCCTTGTTCGTCGTTGCGCCTCCTGTTCTTCGCTCCTCGCTACTCGTTCCTCGATCCGCCCCCTTCTCCCCCTCCTCCTTCTCATCCTCCTCCCTTTTTCCGCCTTCTGGCGCGCAGCCATGACCGGATGTCCTGGAAATCATCGAGCATGAGAGCTTACGAGCTCGCCAGCTTCATCCTGTCCGCACTGTACCCGACATGCGGCAGCATCGAATTTGCTAGATCCTCGGCCAGCCAGTGAAACTTAAAATGAGTGGGCGGCAGTGAACAAAACACAACAACGCGGGGCCCGAAGCAAGAGCGAGTGGGGACACACACGCACACACCAAACCTCTCAAGAGGACACAGAGGAAGAGTGATTGGATGAGAAACGCGGGGCAGAAAGCCAATCCACTTAGGACACGAGGGCCACATATGAACAAAAGCGCCTAAGACTCCGCACCCGAATATGCAACCTCTACGACTGACGTCGTGGAGTCGAACGGAAGTACCCCCCGCGGGCCAGCGAGAGCAGTAGTGCGCAGCGACTGTGCTACAAAACTGGCGGGCTGACGTTCGAAAGCGACCTTGACCACTTCGCAGGTCGAACACGGCTGTCTTTCCACTGGGGGCGCGGAGCCAGCGGAGAAATCTTCGCGAACAAACGGAACCGAGAGTGGCTGGGAAGACGAGAAGAACGAAACACCTCAGTGACACCCCTTTGGGTGTCAGGCCTGGGCTTGCCTGGGACTGACTCGGCGAAAAGATAAGCGCAGAGAACGCGCGATCACCTGCTGGGGCGGGAGTCTGGCCCCAAACGAGCCCTGAAGCGGCATCGCGGGGTTTCTGGACAAGCGGGCATGCTTCCACTGTGGCGGACTGAAAGGCCCCAGCCCTATCTCCGCCAGCAAGAGATCACAAAGGGCGGCGGCGCAGAGCATGCTACGGACAAAAAAAACTGAGGGAGAGCGACCAAGGCGGCGCGGAGCAGCGCGGCTGCGGCAGTCAGCTTGACGGTAGGAATACCAAGCCCACCCCCGAACCCCACCACCCGAGAAAATCGGCGCGAACACGCGCGCAGCGCGGCAACCTGAAAAGAGACGCAAGCAGCGGCGAAACAAAGCACAATGACCGAAATGGTTAGAAAGTGAGAAGTATGAAGGGGACTAGCCGAGAATTTTGGCGGCTCGCTTGCTGCGCCCACACTGGGCGGTCGCAGGCGGGGAACGAGCGCGAGCGGTCTCACTGCCACGGCGGAACCACTTTTGAAGAAGGCCCTCCGGGCTTCGAACCAAAAAAAGCTCCAGGGCACAACGCAACGCAATGGCGCGCCCCGAATGTAAGCGGCTGGCCAGTCTTCCCACATCGGCGCAAGCTCGGGGGGCGCGCGGGCCCCCGACAAGCACCGCAGAGCTCTCTGAAACTTGAAGCGCGGGGCCTGATGGCGTTCGGCTCGGACCGTCGATCCGCTTCAGTCGACCGAGAAAATAAAGCGCGCGGACAGCAGCGCGCCCGTCGTCGCGCGCGCTCGAGCGACGCCGCGGATGCGAGGCGGCGGCGCATGATCGATGTCCCGAAGGAAGGCGCGACAGGCGACCGCGCGCAACGCTGCTGGGGCAAGACGGCCCTGGATAAATGCCGCCCTCGATCATGAGCGCAAGCGTCGGCTCGATCGCACCAGAGACAGAGCATCGAATATCATGGCTTCGACGCCGCGGAAAAGCGATGGAGAGGCGCCGGGGCTCTCAGGCGCGCGAGGCAAGCGTCGCAGCATTCATTCGCGCGCCATGGGCGGGAAGGCCTGGCCATAATCAAACGCCACCAGAAGTTGGCTCGCGAGAAGTGGCGGAGTCGCCCCCCGGGGCCGCCGCGCTGAGTCCTGGGCCGCCGCCCCCGCCAAACCTCCGCTGTATTTGCAGGTAAACGCATTCAAGAGCCGGCTCAGACCTCCCACGCCGCCGCGCCCGTCAACGTCGTTCGATGTGTTTTCTGCGCCCCAGGGCCTCGACTGAGGCCGGCTCCGGATGGCGACGACTTCGTCTCCGCCCTCCACTCCTTGGGGGGTAGCAACCCCCCTGGGATTGTTGGACATGGCGAGGGGGGGCCCGCTGAGGACCCACCGGGGCATCTCATCCACAACGATTGCCCCGTCGGAAGCTCCGGCCAGGCAACGCGCGGAAGCCCGTCGGGTTCGGGACCAGAACGGGCTCGGGAATCGAAATGCAACTGAAGACCTCGGAGCGCGGGCGGCGGCAGGCCGCAAAGGTCGGCAAGAGGCCCGAGGGCCCGAGGACTTCAGCATGCCCCTTAGCGCGCTGCGTCGCAATCGGCCTGCAAGAGAATGCTGGGCGCCAATGGCAATCAAGGGGGCCGGTTTCAAGGCGCGGGGCAGGCCCCTGCTGCGCGTCAAAAAACCGCGCGGCGCCAGGCGCCTTTCAAAGGGGCCGCAAGCGAGACAGAGTCAAGAGCCCCCTGAATCTCCCCCGACGTGCAACGGCAATTCGAATCGGGACTGGGGAGAAGAACTGCGTCATATTCGGTTCGTTCGAACTCGGCGGTTTGTCCGCGCGTTCCGGAAGCGGCTTGAAGGCGCTCGAAGCCGCGCAGGAGTTGAGTCCGCTATTCCAACAGCTCGGCGCTGAAATATCGCATGGCCAGATGGGGCGACGCCCCAGAGGCCAGCGGCCATCTTGGCCCCGCGCGGCTCGAAACATGCACTAACGACGAGGGTCGGCCGGCGACGGACTCTGGGCGTCTCGCAAGCATGGCATCTCGAGCGCACGCAGCAGCCCCCCGCATCACGCGAGCGCTGAGGTCCGGGGGGATCGGGCGAGACATAGAAGAGGCACCCGCGATGTCAGCAAGGGCGCGCAGATAGTTCGCAGATTCTTCTTGACGAAAAGTTCAACTGGACATGCAGCGTTCAGAAGAGGGGGGGGGGGGGGGGGGGGGGGGGTCAGCTCCGCGCGGTCTGCGCTGCGAGCGGGGCGCGATCTAATCTGTCGAGCAGACAACCTCGGGGTACTGAACCACCTGGCAACTAACGTTCACCTAACCAACCAAGCGCAGCCTATGACAGAAAAATCACCGTGGTTTCGGTTGCGCTCAGGTTTCTCAAACTCTCGGCGTTGCGCAAATTCGGGGTATCGATCTCGACCGTGGGCGCGAGCGCTGGGCTAGTGATGGCATCCTTCGTGGAGCGCCATTCATTTCTGGGAAGGGCGCGTCGGGTCTGGACTGGGATCAGCGCCCTGAGACCTCGGGGCCTTGTCAGCCAGCAACGAACCCCAGGCGAGAGGTCGGGGAGCGCTGAGGAAACGGCGAGACGACCGCGAAGAACAGAAGCGATGATACGACGTTCCCCGACAGAGAGCCCGCGAATTCGAAGATTGCAGCGGCTGCCCCAGATCTCGCCCGATAACTTAACGCGGACTTCTAGAGCGCGGCCTCGGGCATGAACAAGGCGTTGATCCAAGGGGCGGGGATGGGGGGACGAGTCGATGATATTGGCAAAGAACGACAACACAACCTGCTCTGAACTCGGAACATAAAGAAAAACACGCGCGGAGACGAACGAGTCGGAATGGCGGAGAGAGTCCCTGATATTCCGCGCGGGCGCCGCGGGACCCCTGGAAGAGTCAGAAAAAAACACGCGCCGCCAACTGGAGCGCATCCCGCGTGACTTGATAGATCTGTGGGCCGTCGTGTAATGCAAGAGACCCATGGTGATCCACGTCGCCAAGCGAAAAGGAAGGGAACGACCTGTTCCGTCGTGGCAGGCGTGACGGAGAGGGCAACATGCTCCACGTTATGCCCATCGGTCCGTGTGGAAATGCGCATGGTGCCTTCTCGAACGTCGGAATTGACGAAGCCAGTTCGGGGAAGAACTGGTGGGCCCTCTATCGTGCGCGGGCCAGTCCGCACGATGAGGCGCCACTGACAGGAGACCTCTCTCTTGAGCTTGTCGCTGGAAAACGTTTGAAGCGATTTCACCTACCCGCACCTGGAGTTGTGAAGCGCTCCGATGACTTGCCCGGCATCCGCAAGGCGCCCAGAGCTTGTTGAGCCTTCCTGCTGGCGTAGGCATGGCCCCACCTTGGTTCGCATGGCGTGCTCGGTGGTCGTGGGATCTCTCTCCATGTCGAACTCGGCGTCGTCATGGTTGGCGCGGTGGAGCCACTGGCGGAAATTGAACACGCCTGCGTGAGCGGAGAAAGGATTGGCACGGGAAATGAACAAATGGAACGGCTCATTTTGTGTCAAAATTCACACTTCGGAAAAGGCACAGGTTCGTGCGCCTTGACAACTTCGAGCGCCGACTGCAGGGTACAGACGGTCGCTTTCATGACGTCGAGGCGGGCGTTTTTGTTGTGTCCTGCCTGTGTTTGGATGCACTAAGTCTGTTCTCGAGCTTTGGGCCCAAACGCCGATAGACCTGGAAGGCGCGCCATGGCGTTCTCGACCTCGGCCACGGCATCCTGGAACTTGTTCTCGGTGTCATCGACACGCTGGCGGAGCTCGATGATGTCGGACTGGTCCGGGGGGTCGGCCGTGCGGGCTGACTTTCGCCCTCTGTATCGTGGCGTGCCTCCTAGTTTTTCTTGGGGAGAGAACGTAATGGCAACAACGAACTGTTCAAGCAAGCGTTATCTTACGGCTCCATCAGAAGCCATCGCGCACACTGAGGGATCCTAACTGGAGGGTGGAGTGCTGCGGCCGGGGCCGAACCACAGCAGGATCGAGGGCGCAACCATAAAATTGGGTTTGGGCCAACCCCTTGGCTGCATCAAGCTGAAGCACCGAGGGCTCCGAAGCTTCAACTTGAAGCAGATAGGTTAGAACCAAAATGGTTACGGACTATTCCTCCTCTTCCTCCTCCTCCTCATCATCATCACATCGTCACCACCTCCACCATCACCATCACCATCATCCCCCTTATCATCAGCATCCTCATTATCTTCCTCATAATCATCACCATCATCATCATCAACATCACCATCATCACAATCGTCATCATCAACATCATCGTCATCATCATCGTCATCGTCATCGTCTTCATCATCATCAGCAGCATCAGCATCAGCGTCAGCATCAGCATCAGCATCATCGTCATCATCATCATCAGCATCATCATCATCATCGTCATCAGCAGCAGCAGCAGTATCATCCTCATCAGAATCAGCACCAGCACCAGCATCAGCATCAACATCATCATGATGTCCCGTTTCATCCTCCTCCTCGCTGTTCCTCCTCCTCCTCGTCCTCCTCCTTCTTCTCCTCCTCCTCCTGTTCCTCCTCCTCCTCCTTCTCCTCCTCCACCTCTTCCTCCTCGCTTCTCCAAACATCTCCTGGCTCCGCCTCCCTCCTCCTACATCCTCCGTCTTCCCTCCCTCCTGTTCCTCCTCCTCCTCCACCTCTTCCTCCTCCTCCTCCTTTTCCTCATCGCTCCTCCTCGCTCCTCATCCCTCCTCCTCCTCCTCTTCCTCCTCCTCCAAATCCTCCTCGATCCGCCTTCATCCTCCGCGCTTCTCGCTCACCCTCATCATCTTCCGCGCTCTTCCTCGCTCCTCCTCCCTCCTCCTCGCTTCTCGCTCCGCCTCCCTTCTCATCGGTCAACGCTCCTCCTCTTCCTCCTCCTCCTCCTCATCCTCCTCCTGTACCTCCTGTACCTCCTGCACCTCCTTCACCTCCTCCTCCTCCTCCTCCTCCTCCTCCCTCTCTTCCTCCCCTCTGCTCCTCCTCCTCCTCCTCTCTCCTCTCATCGTCCTCCTCCTCCTCCTCCTCCTCTCCCTCTACCTCTACTACTACTACTACTACTACTACTACACTACTATACTACTACTACTACTACTACTACTACTACTACTACTACTTACTACTACTACTACTACGACTACTACTACTACTACTACTACTACTACTACTACTACTATACTACTACTACTACTACTACTACACTACTACGACTACGACTACGACTACGACTACGACTACGACTACGACGACTACTACTACTACTACTACTACTACCTACTACTACTCTACTCCTACTCCTACTCCTACTCCTACTCCTACTCCTACTACTACTACTACTACTACTACTACTACTACTACTACTACTACTACTACTACTACTACTACTACTACTACTACTGGTTCTCCTCCTCCTTCTCCTCCTCCTGCTTCGCCTACAGATCCGTCGATCAGCCACGTGGAAGTGAGCGAAACCAGTGCCGAACGATTTGGCGATGAAGCGCGCCGATTTTTACATGGAATCGGGACCCGAAGCTAATCCGCGCGCTTACGGGACAATCGGCCAAGAGAAGGGACGTGGGCTAACCGACCAAGAGCAGGGACAGCCGGCCAAGAGTCGTGGGAACAATCGGACCAATCCCGTGGTCGACGCTGACCAATCTTTCGAGCCCCGTGCATCCGTAGCGACGATGACCGTCCAGGAGCCTCAGAAATACATAAACGAGGGGATGGTGGCAATATCAGTACATGTCCCCTTCTCTGGGTGTGGCTTTCGGATCATGACTCGGCTCCCTGGCGGGCCTTCGGAACGATCCGGGCATCCCGGGAACCGTCCCAGTGAGGCGCTGCTGGAAAAATCCCGAGGCTGGAAAACCTGTGACAACCCAGGGGAGCGTCCGAAAACCTCGTCTTGTCGTCGCTCGGACGTCCATTCCCAGTGCATGTTTAGGTTTCGTGTGTTTTTTTTTGCTCGATGGTCCAGGATGCTCCTCGATGGTTCTCGCCGAGAAAAAATGCACACATCCGAGCGATGCCAAGTCGTATCTCGAAACTTCGTCCCCACAGCAGGCTCTGACCTTACATGCATGCTTGCGCTCACCTTGGGCTCCTCGAGCTCGCCCCACGGGATGCACGCGGCGAGGTCCCGGTCAGCGAGGTCGAACACGAGGTAGAGGTCCCGGCCGCCCGCCGGCAGCACCGCGTCCCTGAGGGCGACGACGTGCTCGTGCCGGAGTTGCCTCGAGATCTCGGCGGCGCGCCCGGGGGGGGGAAGGCAGATGGGGGGCGGGCCTTCTCAGAGGCTCCGGGGATCGAGGTCTTCCATGGTGGTCGCATGGTCCTCGGCAGCGTTCCAACCTGGGAGATCTTGTCTGTTCCAGCAGCTCCGCCTCGTCGAGAGGCGCCCAGGGGTGCCCGGCTTCTCACGGACGGCCGCCGGAGGCCCGAGCTATGAAGCGAACACGGCACGGCGTCAAGGGTGATGACTGGCCCGGAAAGGTCTGTTGAAGCCCCACCCGAAGAGGGGGCAACCTTAACCAATCATCTTTTCGGCGGCCATGTTGAAGGACTGGTGTCCAACCCAACCAATAGGGGGTAACATCTGTTTTGCTCCGCGGCACCCGCCGCCCAAGAACGACGACGACGGCTACGTCTAGGATTGCGACTACGACCACTACGACTCCTACGAAAAGGAGGAGGAGGATGAAGAGGATGAGGAGGAGGAAGAAGAGGAGGCTTCAGGACCAGTCCTACTTTCCGCCAAGACTCACGGGGGGGCGACCAGAACAGACGACCTTTAGCGGTTAGGGGTGATTCTCAAAGCCTCCTCCGAACCCACACACTGGCGATCGCTCGGACGTCCATTTCCTGTGTTTTTGTATCGGTTTCGTGCGTGGTTTTTTCGCCAAATGATCAAGGATACTCCTCGATGGTCCTCGCCGAAAGAAAAATGCACACGTCCGAGCGATGCCAAGCACAGGGCTGCCCGGAACGCCCGAGGGCCTCCTCCGAAGCCCCGCCGCCTTCTGAGAAGGGCCGCCTCCTCGCACGGCCCCCCCCTCGGCGCGCCGCCGAGCCTCAGCAGGGCCAGCTCCCTGTAGGTCCTCTGCAGGGCGACGACCGGAAAAAAGCTGCACCGACGCGCCGTCAAGCTGCCCCCACCAGGCAGGCCCAGGCGGGAGCGGAGCCCTCTTCCCCTGTCCCCCGAGGCGCCTGGGCGCACGAGGAGCGCGGCAGGGCCGTGGCATCCGAACTGTTCCCCAATCGGAGCTTTTGCCTCTACAGCCCCAAGAAGCCCTAACGAGCCCTAAAAAGCCCTACAGCCCCATAGCCCTATAGCCCCACAAAAAAGATTATGCTTAGGGCTCTTCTCCGGTACCACTCCCTACTTTCTGGACGCCCGAAATGGGTACGGAAAGAATGGGCACAATGCCCAACAGCAAATGCTGTCCCAAACCAACAGCGGCCCCTGTTGGGCGGGCGACCTCCTGTCTCGAATGGACACAGGCCGCGGCGGCGTGGACAGCGAATCCTGCTCAGAAGGAACAGGGACTGCTGTTGGGCATTGTACCCATTCTATTCCGTACCCGTGTCGGGCGTCCAGATGCTTCAGCGTCTTGACCGCGCCCTGCCGGGCGCCCGCGCGGAGCTCTCGAGCTCGGCCGCTGGGCGGCACCTCTCCTGCGCCGCCCCCGGGAGCGCTCGACGCGCCCCGGGGGGCCCAGCGGCCCGTTCGGGGAGACCCGCGCGGCGTGGGGGAGCTTCGCGGGCCTGCTTTTCACCGCCACCACCACCGTGGGTTGGAGGGAGAGGGGGTCCTCCTCCTCCTCCTCCTCCTCCTTCTCCTCCTCCTCCTCCTCCTCCTCCTCCTCCTCCTCCTCTCCTCCTCCTCCTCGTCCTTCTCCTCCTCCTCGTCCTCCTCCCTCCCCCCATCCAACTTATGGTGGTGGTGGTGGTGGTGGAAAAGAGGCCCATCAGAGCTGGGGGGAGCGAGGCCGACGCGAAGCGGAGACCCCCCCACCGGGACATCGGCTTCGGCTTCGTGCTCGTGCCTCGAAGCTGGGACGAGGACCGCTCCCGCGGGAGGCCCGAGCAGCAGTGGGCCCCCTGCCTCTGCGCAGCGCTGCCCCGAAGGCGTGAGCTCACTAGCCTCGAACGTATCCCTATCCCTAAGATTGCCACGCCCAAAGGCGATGACAATCGTAGGGATTTGCCCTCAAAAACTAGAAGGGAAACCCTAAGATTGGCATCGTGATGAGGAGGTGCCCAGCACAGGGATAGGGATATGTTCCAGGCTGGTAATGAGCTGCCTGGGGGGCGCCAGCTCCCCTCTGTGCCGATGCGCCGCTGGGGCGCCAGGCTTCCTGCTCGCCTGCTTGCTGCGTGCTCGTGCCGTGCGCGCGCTGAGGCTGCGTCGAGGCCGCGTGCGCGTGCGCGGGGATAACGCTCCCGCCGCTGCCGGAGCGAGGGCAGAGCAGGGGTGCCTCCGCTGCTTGGCGGGGTTGGCCCCGCAGCTGTCCCGTGGCCGTCCCGTGGCTGTCCCGTGACTGCTCCGCCGCTGTCCTGCGGTCGTCACGACTGCTTTCCCGAGAATTGTAGCGGCCGTCGTCCCGGTGACGCCCGATGGTTGTCCCGATGGTTGTCCCGATGGTTGTCCCGATGGTTGTCCCGATGGGTAGGCACAACAAATGCGCTCGGCGCCTTCAGCGCAACAGTGTGTTGGCCCAAGTGCGAAAAACTGATGCGCTTGCTGTCGCTACGACTGTTTCGATGGAAAGTAGTGGAATCAAACATAGATAGTGAGATCAATAGGTAGGTAGTGGGGTCGATCGAATTATATATCGATAGTGGGGTGATCGCAAGATCGATCGACAATAGATCGTTAGACAGAGAGGTCGATATAGGAAATGTGATCGACACGTAGATCGTTAGATCGAAGTATTCCTAGTGAGGTCGATAAAGTGATCGGATGGTAGATACATATTTAGCTCGATATATCGAAATCTAGTGTATTCGAAAGAGCTTGCTGTTCCATGGATGGGGGCGGTTGCCCCAATGGTTGCCAAGTCGTTGGTTTCCCCCCCAAACACCCGCCTTATGGGTGTTTGCCTGGACTCTCGTAGGCAGGCTAAAAACTGATGTTGTCTTCCGACAGGGGGGGACCGACCAGCTCATTGAAGGGACATCGACCAGGAATCGGCAATACATCGCCGATGGATCGGCGATGGGCTCCCGACAGTGAGACCGCAAGCTCCCGGGCAGGGTGAGCTGCGAAGCCCCTAACACCGATCAACTGGCGACTGGGGGTATAGGCTCAGGGGGATGCATCGCCCAAAGGTTGCCCCTTGGGTCTCGGGTAATGTCTTTGCTCTCGAGCGGCCGTTCCGAACGCATCGGGGAACTCCCGGGACGCTCACGGCCAGGCGCTGCCGCTGGAAGGCACTCCAAGGCTGGAAAGCCGCTGGGAGGGGCCGAAAACATCCGAAAGAGACGTCCGAGCACACAACAACAAACACACCTGTCCTCAGCAGCGTCCGCTCGTCGGTGGGCTCCAGGCCGCCCACGCACCGCTTCACCGCGTAGCTCGTCCGGCGCAGCCGCCGGCTCCCGAACGGCGGCCGCAGCCACGCGCGGACCACGACGCCGTACGCGCCCTCGCCGAGGACGCCCGCCAGCTCGTACCTCGCCGCCACCTCCGCCGGGGCCGGCTCTCCGCCGGCGGGCGGCCCGGGCTGCTCCTGCCGGCTGCCCATCGCCGGGGCCAAGATGGGTAAGGTGCGGGGGGAGGCGGCGGGGAGAGGAGAGGTCGGGAGCGGCCAAGAGGGGGGGGTCCAAGAGGGGGGGTGCAAATCATGACCGGCGGCACGTGCGCGGCTCAGCGGGGGGGCCAGGGACGTAATGAAATAAGAAGAGGCGCCATAAAGTCTGGGGAAACATCATGGCCCCCGCCAAGATATCCACCCCCCCTAGTCATCACCCCCCTCTTTGCCGCCCCCGAAGAGGCGGAGGCGGAGAGGTCGCAGGGGCGGCAGCGGAGGGCGGAGGCAGCCGGGGCGGGGGGCAGGAAGAGGCGGGGGAATGAGGGCAGCCGCTCGCTCAGCTGGCTCTCCAGGAGGGGGCCCCGCGGCGGAGCCGAGGCTTTGCCATCTGCACACAGCAGGTGTCGTGTTCCCCCCCCTCCCCCTCCCCCTATACCCTATTATCCCGTCTTCGTCTGCCCCGGGCAGCGGAGCGAGGGAGCGGAGGAGGCGGAGGCGGGGGAGAGGGGAGGGTGGATCGCAGCTGACCTTGAGCCCTCTTGCAGCACGGCTGGGCTCGGCAGCAAGGGGGCCCGCAGCCCACGAGAATGCCAGGCCCTGGGCGAACCGCAGGAGGAAGCGGAGAGGAGGAGGAGGAGGAGCCAGGATCATGGTGCGTGCTCTGGGGCTCCGGTCCACGGTTCGGCAAAGCTTGTGTCGTGACGACCCTGGCGTTGGTTTCTGACACCGTGTGGACCGCTCAAGCTTGCACGGCCAACAACTTGTCGATCGCCAGGTCGTTCCGTTTCGGCCGATCGTGGGAGGTGCTGCTGGCGGCGAACAACTGCGTAAACCTGATATGTCGGAGGACGGACCATGAGGATCACTGGGTCTGGTCAGGTGTCCTTGCGACCCTCGTTCAACGCCCGCGCACCCTGCCCCCCCTGCGGGACCGACCAACTGCAGAACATCATAAGCATCCCGATGTCCGCATGGAATTCTGAGGTCGGCGCTGGACACTCTCCCCCCGCCGCACCCCGCGCGGCACCTCCAGCGCCGACGCCGGCGCACCCCACGCGGCAGGGCAGGGGCCGGGGTGCGGGGAGGGGGTTCGATGCGAGGCGGGGCTGTGCAGCCATACCCAGCGCCTGGGGATTCGAGCTCCCCCGAGGGCCTCGGCCTCAGCAGGCGGCGGGCGCGGAGGCACGCGGCACCCCGTCAGGGGCCTGGCCATTCCCAGGTCCACCGCCGATGCCTCTAAAACGACGCGAAGATCGGGACAAAATCGGATCGGGCTAACTCGAGATCTCTGAGAATCGGCGGGCTGGGAGGATGTACTGGGCGCCGCGGCCGCTCCTGAGCGTTCCCGAACGCTCTGAGAGCGCTCCGGAACGCTCTGGAGCGATTTATCCCGATCCTGGCTCTGTTTTACCGATGCCTCGCCGATGCGGCGCCATCCTCGGCGGGCGGCGGACGCGGAGACACGTGGCACCCCGTCCAGGGCCTGGCTCTTCCCAGGTCCACCGCCGATGCCTCGCCGATGCGGCGCCATCCTCGGGCCCCGTCGCGCTTCCTCCTCCTCCTCCTCCTCCTCCTCCTCCTCCTCCTCCTCCTCCTCCTCCTCCTCCTCCTCCTCCTCCCCCTGCCCCTCCTCCTCCTCCTCCTCCTCCTCCTCCTCCTCCTCCTCGGGCCCCGTCGCGCCGGGCCCCCGTTTTTGTGGGCGGCGCCGTGGCCAAGGAGGGGCCATAGCCCGAGCACGGCCGTGCGGCCTGCCAGCAGTGCGGGCGTGCCAGCCCAGAGCCCCGGGGGGGCGGGCGAGCGCCTTACGGCACGGCTCTCCGCCGCGCCCCGGGTGTGGTGTCGTCGGGCCTCTTGCGCCTCGTGCTGCCTGCAAGCCTTTCGCGAACCGCACCCTGGCATACCGAAGCATCGGTGTGAAACAGTGGGTGGACACATGACTCTCACCAAAACAATCACCAAAGCACACACCTCGGCAGAAGCCACAATGCAATGCGAATGAGAGACAACCGCCACACAAGCCGACCTGAAATGGGCCAACTCTCGTAGAGAATCTTGGCCTGAGAGAGAACAACAACAGAGATGGTAATGCTGCTCCTTCCCCCGATCTACCCTCCCGATTTGGGCCTGCACCGACTGGGTTGCTGCGGAACGTGGGGCAGCCGCAGTAGATGCAAAAGCGCCTGGCTGCGCGGCGTCATAGAGGCATGGCGAAGGGCCGCATGCAGAATCGTCGTCGTCGTCGTCCTCCTCCTCCTCGTCGTCGCGGTCGCTGTCACAATCGTAGTCGTCGTCGTCGTCGTCGTCGTCGTCGTCGTCGTCGTCGTCGTCGTCGTCGTCGTCGTCGTCGTCGTCGTCGTCGTCGTCGTCGTCGTCATTGTCGTCGTCGTCTGACACGCTCCCGCGCGTTCAAAAACGTGCTGAGAAAGAAGACGCGGCGTTCCGTGAAGTCTCCAAGTCTCCGCAACAACAAACAAACAGGTAGCATCGAACACATAATGGCGGT